TTGGGATTCAATCCCACCATCTACGATTTCACATTATTTTGAATAAATGCCACCTTGGCTCCTTTAAAAAAACAATTTAATCAATTTTAATTTATATAATTTATATATATAATTTTAAGAATATAGTTCCGATTTTACTAATTTTTGATAATATTTATATGCACTATTGTAATATTATTTCAATATGGTAATATTATGTATGGATTAAATTGGAAAAGATATATGTTATTAGAAGGAGAAATAAATATTATGAATATTTCTATTTAATTTACCTTAATTAACTCCTTCTAATTTCTCCCATTTCGTGGATACAAATAAAAATAATTTATTTATTGTAATATTCTCTGTTATTTACCTTAATTCACTCCTAATTTCTCCCATTTGGTGGATACAAAGAAAAATAATTATGAATATGGGTAGACGGGGTAGTATAATTATTAATTATATTTTCAAACCAATAAATAAATAAGAAAAAGAATAAATTAAGGTACGAATGAAAATTTATTACAGTTATTGACTACGTAATCTTGGATTATATTTTCAAACCAATAAATAAATAAATAAAGGAAAGAATAAATTAAGATACGTAATTTATATAATCTTGGTAATAAATGAGTCCATATTCTCATATGAACCTATTATCATAAAATAGTGTATAAGTGTATAACCAATTTAAGCAATCTAAATATTAACCATTTCATATATATATATATATATATATATATATATATATATATATATATATATATATATATGCTAGATAATAAATTACCGTGTATAAAAAAATATTAATATGAAAATATTATGCTACGATTTTTTTTAATGCTACTGACTCTATATTAAATTATTAATATTATGCTACAATTTAATGAACAAACTAATTTAATAAAATAGTATTTTGTAAGCAAATAATTAAAAACAAATTATAAGCCTTTACAAAATTTGAGTTAATCAATTAATCGATTAGAAATACAAACTTTGTTACGTTAATGGTTAACTTTTGAGTTTTGGAATGAATAAAAATGGCCTAATGCTTTTTTTTTTTTTTTAAACTTTTAGAATTTTGGAAACTTGCACTGGGGTATGCCATTTTTAATACAATATGTAATTAAAAATTGTAAAATAGAAATGTTAATTAATAAATATCTAAATAATTTATAATATTCAATTTTTTGTACCTAAAAAATTTCATTTTTCTTTATTGTCATCACGAGTCATTCCTTCACAATTATTTAAACTCTGTCATTTTATTTTTTTTAGAAAACGAGTCGTTGTGTAATCAGAATAATACACAAGCATTGTTGTTGCGATCAAATATATCATTCGATAATGCTCAGCCATCATTACAATCAACTATTGGTGCACCAGCAGTTAGACCAGTTACTCCCAAAGTGAATGGTAAATATAATTTTGTATCAAAATCCTTTCTAACTATTTTACTGAATCATTTTTAAATTTCCTCACTTCATATAAATAATTGCAGTGGCAGGTATTGAACCATTGTACGGTGGATTTATGATTTCCTCTCCAAAAGCACCTATTAATATGCCAACCAATGGTATTAAAACTATCGTTAACATTATTTGTAATAACCTTTACATTTTAGTATATACACATTTTGTTTTATTTGTTTTTACAAATTATTGATTTCTTACAATTAACATGTTCATGTTAATTATTATGCATTTATTTGTTTTTATTATTTTCAAAATTATTACAATTCAGAGACCCATTCATAGTTCTATCTAAGTAGAAGTTATTCTATGAGAATTATTTAAACAGTTATATTTTTTCGATTTTTTTTTGCAATAGTTAATGTTCATCAAAGTTTGTTTGAAGATAATCATGTGGCCACCAGAGGAAAACCATTGAGTGCAATCACAAATGGTATATGTTATATTCAAAATATCATTTTATTCTTCAATACCATACCAGGTAGTGCTGAGAAAACATTCGGTGTAAAGACAATAGTATTGGGCGGTGATTTTAGACAGATTATTCCCGTTATTCCAAAAGCAACGAGGCCAATGGTTGTGGGAGCCACTGTTAATTCTTCATACCTTTGGAGCAATTGCAAGGTATATTGAGGCTCACGACGAACTTTAGACTACAGAGCTTAGCTTCAGACGATTTTGTTAAATACACACTCCTGAATTTTTAAATAGTTTGAGATTGTCTAGACTTCCTAATAATTCATTTACAATAAAGGTTGGTGCACCTATTATGTTATTGTGGAACATAGACCACTCTCTTAGCATGGTATTTGCAACGGTACGCGCCCCATCGTCACAAGATTGGCAGATCATATTGTGGAAGCAATAATAGTTAATGGGACACATCAAGGAACCAAAGTTCTTATACCACGAATGTCTCTCACCCCTTCTGATACAAGATTGCCCTTCAAGTTCCAGCATAAACAATTCCCGTTGATACTAGCATATGCCATGACTATCAACAAAAGTCAGGGTCAAACACTAACTCATGTTGGCTTATTGTTGAAAATATCGGTTTTTAATCACGGTCAATAGTACGTGGCTTTTTCCCGAGTCACTTATCCTGATGGCCTAAAAGTTTTAGCTCTAGACGATAATGGACAAAATTCTATTACTACTACTAATGGCGTCTACAAATAGGTTTTCAACAATGTATAATTCAAAGCATTTATATTATGTATTCTTCTTACAAAATATGACAAAATTGTTAGATATTTACATATTACATATATATTCCGTGCAAATAATTTCTATACCTGAGTTACTACACAACAAGATAATAAGACCAATTAATACAAATTCGAAACATTGATATATAAACTGTTGGAAAAATTTGCTTAAAATGGCATATTAAGTGGCTATTTTGTGGTACAATTATCAGTGGGGTCCACTTCCAATTTGGGTCGGGTCAAAGTGGATTCGGGTTCTTCGTAGTGAGACGAAGAGATTGATATATTGTACGCTCAAAATGGATAATAGGTGAATGAGATATTGATTCTCAAAGTAGACCCATTTGAGTTAGGAAATGAAGGGAAATAGTGGACTTTGTCCCACATTGGTTTGGAAAGAATATTTGTCCCCTTTATATACAAGAGCTCTTTTAAAGCTTGTAGAATTGTATAGCATAGAGGCTCTCTCGCGCGGTGGGGGGTGAGGGGGGGGGGGGGTGTAAATCAAAATCCAACTAGAAGAAATTGAATCAAGCCCGAGCTCGCTTGCGCTGGCACTTGCGGGCTAAGTTATGCCAAACTTCGGTATCATTTTCCAATCGAAATAGTCACTTGGTGGCTCGGCCAAAACCGGGAGTAGTACTCTCGTGCTACAGAGAGCACGAGAGGTTGTGGTGCACCGAGAGCAAAACTCTCGTGCAACGGTCAGCAAAGGAGGTATACTCTCATGTTGCACCACAGTGGGTGGCTGTTACAGGTGTTACACAATTAGTTTTAATACCATAAAACCAATTTAATGGTCATGTTGAATGTTATCCCTCCAACATCCCTATATAAAGAGAGGTAGGACAGAAGCTTTTTACACAGCACAAAACCAAAGGAATTCCAGTACTGTTTTGCTTCAAAACTTCTGCTTCTAATCTCTTCTTTACCTAGCAGTGTTCTAAGTTTTGCTTTGTTTGCCGGGTTCTTTGTGTAGGTGCTTAAACAAAGAATCGTAGTACGTTTTATCCTGGGAAACCTAGGCTACAACGCTCCTAGCACTTGTGGGTAGAGCTGTCGAAACGGTCTCGCGGGGCGAGACGGGCCAAAAAACACCAAAGCCCGTCCTTGTAGCGGGACGGGCTAAAAAGCCCGCCTCTTAGCGGGCTTGGAATGCGGCCGGCCCGCCCCGCCATGCCAAAGCCCGCCAATCAATTTTTCACTGTGTTATTTTAAAAAAAAAATCAATGTACAATATCCTTAAAAAAAAAATCAATGTACAGACGTACAGTACATTAACACAGTAACACTACCTAGTATTGTATTCCTATAAATCTATAATCCTATAAGTTATAAGTTATAACACTCTAACACTATTACACAAACCAAAATAACATGTATTAAATACTAAATATATATGTATTAGCTGGTCGCGGGCTAAACTCGTGACCCGCCTGACCCGGCCCGCCTAGACCCGTGACCCAAGCGGGACGGGCTAAAAAGCCCGCCTCCTGGCGGATCAAAATTTGAAGAACCCGTCCCCTACCTACGGCGGTACGGGACAGGTCGACCCGGCGGGTAAAACCCATTTTTGACGGCTCTACTTGTGGGAGGTAGCAAATAAGGTTTTAAGGAAAAGAACTTTGTGTTCGAACTCGTGCTAAACCTATATCCAAACACTCCATCTTTTCCTTCCCAGATTTTTCTGTTTTCCCATACAATAATAATTTTTCTGTAGAATTATTATTTTGAGATTTTTCAACCATATTACCCAACATAAATTGTCTAAACTTTCAGTTCCAAATGCGTATATCTACATGTTCACTATTATTTAGGTAATTATTTCCTCAAATTAAAGCAATAATAACATCATAAAACTTAATAGATTAAACTAAAATCATCAATTGCCCTATATAATATTCACTGGTATAATTTACACTATTAAATATCCATGTAATTATTATTAATATATTATACAGAGTAACAAATCTATTCCGTGCATCGCACGTGCGCAAATACTAGTTGAATTAAAAATAACTTTAATAAAGCCTCGTTAACCGAACTAGACACATAAATGGAATGAATGAAGTATTATTCATGAGTACTCAATAAATAATGGGAAAACATCATTCTCAAGAGGGGGAAACCCAAAAACTCATAAACGACCAAGCACCCTAGTTGTATCCCGGGGAACTCGTCTGGAGACATTTGCACCCAGCTTATCAATCCGGATGATGTCGGTTACCACCTGCCACTTCCAGGCACCGCCTGATAACATTGCTAGAAACGGCGTGATGCCGCGTTGGCCAGCGAAGGGCCTCCACAATCCTCCTCGAATCACACTCTATTTCCAGTTTGGTAACTGCTTGAATTGCATGCATGTAATAAGTATTTATGTTATTACCCAAATGAGCGAAATCTCATTGAATGTCTGGAATTGTTGGAATTTGTAATAAGGTTGTCAATTATGGAAATTCAATTATAACCTTAATCGCACAACAATTACCCAAACATATCGAAATTCCTCTTCAACGCATACAAAAAAGGCCCTGCAAGTCAATCTGCAAAGACTGAAAAGAGAGTTTTTCAGTTTTAATTTCACCCTCTGCCAAATTGCCAAGTAGCAAATCCGCCATGGACGTTGTACCTCAGCTGCAGAAACAATTTGTGGACCTCATAGCTTCTCTGTATCATGAGGTCTTTGTAACAGTCCAAAAGATTTGGACTTTCTTTCGCTTTTATGATTCTTGTGGCTTGTGTTTCCCATTTCTTGGAGGATTCTGAGACTGGGTTTTTGTTTCTTGTGAAAAAAAATAGGGCTTTTTGGATGATCAGTTTCTGCAGCTTCAGAAACTGCAGGATGACAGAAACCCAGACTTCGTGGCTGAGGTGGTTTCACTTTTCATTGAAGATTCTGAGATGCTTATTAGCAATCTGGCCAAAGCTCTGTAAGATTTTCATTCATTTCTTTAAATTTTTGTATGGTTTGCTAGTCAAAAATGAAATCTTTTAAATGTTTGGGTATTTCATTTGTTTCCTTTTTCTCTATTGTATAGTCAGCAGCCAGTTGTAGACTATAACCAGGTTGAGGCCCATGTTCACCTGTTCAAGGGAAGAAGTTCCAGGTATCCTGATTGATTCATAGGCTATTTGTATCATGTAGCTGATGATTAGTTAGTTTTGTGTTTTATGGAATTTATGGATGCTAATAATGATTATATACTAGTGTATGAAAGGATTATGAATCAACTACTTGTTCTGCTTTGTGTGAAATGGATTTAATTTCCATCTATCTGACTCTTAATCGATGCTGTGTTTGGTAATGAAGTCAAGAGTTTTCGTTCGGGTGGCTGTTCTTGAATGGTTTTGTTGTTGTGGCTTGAATTTTAGTAAGAATTAACCTACTAAAGCTCGAATTCGCTTTAAGTTAGTGGTTTGTCTTAACCGTTAGCTCATGCTCTCTGCTTAAACCGCTAATGTTAGTGCTTTGAACTGTACTCAATAAATAGTTGGATTTGAACTTCTTGAAAGGGAGTAAGATTGTGAAAAGCTTTGGAAATTGGTTTATTTGGATTGAAGTAACTGTTTTTTGGGGTCTATTTTTGCAAAATCGTCAACTTTCCTAGGCAATTTTTACCAAACAAATTGGTTTCAAAGCTTGCTGTATACAACTATACACCCAATATGAGTTTAATAGACTGAGAAACATTGGAAATTGTTAACAGATAAAGCTTTGCCATCTTTATTGCCTAACATGTTAACTCAAAATCCTACTTTTTCGGTCTGCAGCATAGGTGCACAAAGAGTTAAGAATGTGTGTGTATCTTTCAGAAACTTTTGCAATGAGAAGAACCTTGATGGGTAAGTTTTGCTTAAGCTATTATTGCAACTAATCCTTCATCAATACACGTATTCTTTAGGGATATTAAAAAAGAACACGATGAACTGATGAAGAGATTTGGTTTCCTTCTGAATCTTATTATTGCATTTCATTCCCTATTTGGCACACTTCAAAAGAGGGAAAAGGGTATGACTAAAAAGAGATGTTGGTATTCAGAAGCTTTGATACTGAAATTACTAATATTTTCGGTGTAGGTGTGTGCAATGCCTGCAACTTGTGAAAAATGAATTCTTTGTTGTGAAGAACAAATTCGAAACTTTACTCAAGGTAAGTACTATATTCCATATATACCAAAATATTACTTTTCGATATTGTACGACTTCTACATGAATGGACATGGTGTTGTTTGCCAATGACCTTGTGATCTGGTGGCATGAAGCGACTCTCCCAATTGGGAGGTCATGGGTTTGAGCCCCAGTGGGGGCAGTATCGACTTTTTGTGCTTCAGTACGTTGAGAAAGTAGAACAGATACTACATTGTAACAGAGTCAATAGTACAGTTTGCGAGTCTAGTACTCGCCCTTTTCAGATTGAGAAAGTAGAACAGATACTACATTGTAACAGAGTCAATAGTACAATTTTCGAGTCTAGTACTCGCCTTTTCAACTGTTACATACTTACATTTGTTATTTTATGGACAAGGACACAACAAACAAAACCTAAAACTTTTGACAGTTGATTCACTACTTACCTTGGCTGTTTAAAATTCAAATACTTGTCTTGATTTCTGGGTGTAAACCAGTGTACAATATCGAAATTCTGTTATATTAACTGTAATTTTCTCTGTTTAAATGCAGCTCGAGCAGCAAATCTTGGCCGCTGGTGGGAAAATTCCTATTCTGCCATAAGTTCGTTACATTGACGTAAAGGCCTATCTGGGCATACTGGAGGGGGGATGTTACAAATAACTTTTATACTTCTGATAGAGGTATAAGGAATTGCTATAGAGGAAACAGGCGATAAACCGAATAAAACCTTCTTCTTCTTCCATATACTGTTATATCAGCTGATACATACTCTTTGCATTTTGAACTTGGTTGATATCATTGGCAGCTTACTTTATGGTTGATTATATGTGTTGGCTGTTTCTGTGATTTTGCATTTATGCAACTGTTGAGTTTATCTCATATAGGATTAGGAATATGAGTCTGTCTCATATAAGGAATAAAAGTGAAACGGTTTGAGTAGATCCATTGTACCGAGTAGATAGTTCTCAGTTGTTTTGCGTTGACCTCTTAAAGAAAATATTGAGAGAAGGAAAGAAAGAAAGAAAGAGTGAAATTATAGGAGGGGGTGGGAGGCATGGAGGCCACCGCCACCCCTATAAAATTGACAGTGGAAGAGGCAAAGGGGTCAGCGCAGTTGGATGAAAGAGACATCACAGCTAAGCTTTATAAATACACATACTCATATAGCAGTAAGTAGCTTATAGGAAAATAATTGAAATATGACGGTCCAAAATTTCCAGATTTGTTATCAAAAGTTAATTGCAGTAATGGAATGGTTAGGCCATGACATGTCCTGCAATGATGAGAAGATGCCACGGTTGTTGGGGTTAGTGCAACTCATTCTCTTATCTTCATGCATGCATTAATGCTTCAAAGTACAATTCATTACAACATATTCAACGCACATAAGAAAACACAATCAAGATGGTTCAATAGTTAATTTCATGAAAATTAACTCTCTGTGAGAACTATTATTGTAAACACAAATTCTGAATTATATATTAAAATTCAAAATTGAGTTACAAGTAGTATCAATAATACAGTGCGGGTATAAGATCTCTGAATGGTTATTTGATTCTTCAATTGATGTCTTGAACACTCTACTGAAGCTAAGGGCCAATTCTTCAATTGATGTTTTGAACACTCTACTGAAGGGAGTGGCTTGATCTTCAATGGAGGGTTGGATATATGGTTGGAAGGGAATTTTAGAACGGTTTTATTTTAAAGAAGAAAACGATGGAAGGGAGTGACTTAATCTTCAATAGAGGGTTGGGTATATATGGTTGGAAGGGATTTTAGAAGAGTTTTATTTTAAAGAACAAGCTCGGACGATTGAAGGGAGTGACTTAATCTTCAATGGAGGGTTGGATATATGGTTGGAAGGGGATTTTAGAAGAGTTTTATAATTTTAAATAACAAGCTGGGACGACCGAAGGTAGTGACTTAATCTTCAATGGAGGGTTGGATATATGGTTAGAAGAGGCTTTTAGAAGGGTTTTATTTTAAAGAACAAGCCGGGACGATTAAAGGGAGTGGCTTAATCTTCAATGGAGGGTTAGATATATGGTTGGAAGGGGATTTTAGAAGGGTTTTATTTTCATGGAGGGTTGGATATATGGTTGGAAGGGGATTTTAGAAGGGTTTTATTTTCACAAGAACAAGTTGGGATGTCGTATATTAATTTTATTTTTTTTAAAAAAAAAAATATACGAGCATTTGGGAGAATGTAAATCAAGACCGACTCAAAATTCAAACATAGATCTCTTCTCTTAAATATATTGCCTCTTGAACCATTGAGCTAAGCCGTATAAGTTAAAGAATGACATTATCAAATCTATTATTGCTTGCTTGTGCCTTGTACGATACCTACTTCCAACTAAACCACCCATTATAATAACATGTAAAATGGCTAGGTAATATTTGATGTTGATGTTAAGAATCAAATGATAGTGATGAATAAGAATCTAATTGAGCAGGCCCCCAACACACATGAATGCATGCCAATCTGATCTCGTTCCTTGAGTTGTGATCACATATTATTTCTATTTCTTAATTGTTAATTAGTTTTTAGAAATAGAAATAATATTTATTTTCTTTTTCAAGACTCAATTTACTATCCGAGTATCAACTGAGCTGCATGCCTAATAGATGGATAATCATTTTCCTTTTCAAGGCTAAATGAGCAAATAGTAGCCATAATAATAATACATGTACTCCCTCTGTCCCATTTTATCTGTCTCACTTACTATTCATTGGTCAAACCAACTTTTTATTCTTTGTTTATTTTTACTTATTTTTAAATTTAATTTTTTTACGTTTAATAATATTTTTATTTTAATTTCTAAATATATACTCCGTATATTTTATATACAAATATTAAATTTAATATTATAACAAATTGAATTAAAAATAACTTTAATAAAGCCTTATTAACCGAATCAGACATATCAAATGAGATGAATATTCATGAGTATTCAATAAATAATGGGAAAACATCATTCCCAATTTTTATTTAATTAGTTTTTTCTTCCTCTAATCTAATAAACAAGGCACGCTTTTCATTTCTCCAACTCCTAAGCATAAAGACAAAAAGGTTACATGGTCATCTTCCTCAAAACTCGAGCCTGCTTATCTGTCACCTAAACACCCAGCTTCGGACATCCACGTAGGCTCGGACAACCGTTTATCCCTCGAACTCCACAATATTACGTACATAATTTTTCATTAAAAAAAACGAAGCAAAACATAAAATCTGTGTCCTCTCCTCCACCTAAAAGCGTAACACACTGACACAACATAGTAGCAGCGCCACCAGTTATTGCCCTTTCCAAAATCTTCACTTCTCTCCCAGAAGAAAGAAAGAAATCTGGGAAAAAAAAAAAGCTTTCTTTTCTTCATCTTCTGCTCTTTTCTTGAAAAATCGGGTACACAATGCTTAGATTGTTCTTCTTCCTTGTTCTTCAGTGTAGGTTCTTTGCAGTTTTTGCGATTCTTGACCCTGTGGATTTCTTGGCTTTACAAGCTGTTCGGAAAAGCTTGGATGATTTGCCGGGGTCCAACTATTTTGGTTCCTGGGATTTTACTTCTGATCCCTGTGGCTTCGCCGGAGTTTTTTGCGATGGGGATAAGGTGGTGGCGTTGAATCTGGGTGATCCTAGAGCTGGGTCGCCGGGATTGACTGGCCGGATTGATCCGGCGATTGGGAAGCTTTCTGGGCTGGCTGAGTTTAGCGTTGTTCCGGGGAGGATAACCGGTGCATTGCCGGAAATCTTGTCGGAGTTGGAGAATCTCAGGTTTCTTGGAATCAGCCGGAACTTTCTCTCCGGCTGGATTCCGTCGGGGCTTGGTAAGCTCCGGGGGTTGCAAACGCTGGATCTCAGTTACAATCAATTCTCCGGGAGTATCCCTCCGGCCATCGGAGCGTTGCCGGCATTGTCCAACGTTATTCTCTGCCATAACCGTCTCTCCGGTTCGGTTCCCCGGTTCGTCTCCCAAACTCTAACCCGAGTTGACCTCAAGCACAACGCCCTCTCCGGCCGGCTCCCGGCCAACGCCTTCCCCGAGTCAGTCCAGTACCTCTCGCTGTCATGGAACCGGCTGACCGGCCCGGTTGACCAGATCTTAACCCGGCTAAACCGGCTGAACTATCTCGACCTGAGCTTAAACCTCTTCACCGGCGGCATTCCGGGAAACATCTTCAACTTCCCCATCACAAATCTCCAACTCCAAAGAAACCAATTTTCCGGCCCCATTAAACCCATCAATCAGGTCACCATCCCCACCGTCGATCTCAGCTTCAACCGTCTCTACGGCGAAATATCTCCGCTCCTCTCCACCGTGCAGAATCTTTACCTCAACAACAATCAGTTCACCGGCCAGGTCCCGAGAACCATCGTGGACCGGCTACTCTCTGCCAGTATTCAGATTCTATACTTACAGCACAACTATCTCACCGGAATCTCCATCAACCCGGCGGCGGCGATTCCGGTGAGCAGCTCACTGTGTTTGCAGTATAATTGTATGGTGCCGCCGGTTCAGAGCCCCTGCCCGTTGCGAGCCGGGCAGCAAAAGACGAGGCCCACACAACAATGCATCGGCTGGAAGGGTAAAACAGGGAATTGACAGCTGCATCAAGGGCAAAAAGGGAATTTCGCCTATATTATAGGGTCGGGGTGCAAGAGTCTGGAGCTAGGGAATTTTACCTTTGTGGACGAGGAATAGTATTTTCATTATTATTATTATTATTGATTTTTTTTTCAAGATGATATTTATTTATTAAATTTTGTAAAATTATGTCATAAACAAAAATGTGCATAAATTGATTATGGATTTTTTAAGGGAAGTTTCTGTCTTTTTTTTAGTTTTATATATTTTCACAAGGAAGGAGATGAAGTACGATTTGTAATAATGAAAGAAGTCAGAGAACATGGTTGGTAGGCAGTACTGTTAATACGCCGTTGCTAATGTCTGTGACCATCTACAATAATGCATCTTGTTTGGCCATAGCGCTCCTAAACACCCCCACCTTGGTGTCGGGATAACGGGACCTTTAGATACAAAAATTATGTGTCACTTATTCAATTACCTCATTTTTCAAGATAAAAATTGATTCTTTAATCTCTATTGTGGGATTGTTGAGAAGCGAGTTGCAATTCATATTGCAGACATACAAAATTAAGGGGCAAAGTGTTAGCCATGTTAGTATGAAAAAATAATAATTTGGTCAGCACTTTGGTACTTAATTGGGTCGGCCTGAAGTGAATGGAGATTAGTCTGCGCAAATTATGTTGTGGACACGAGTCCAAAACGACATCGTTTTTAGGAAAAATGTGGCATTCCAGTTTTTAAAAAAATTGATTTTGTCTCGCCGTTAACGGTGTTATTCGTTTGTGGAGTTATAAATGTACAGTTATGGAATTATGAATGTCAGTTATGGAATTATGAATGTACAGTTATGGAATTATGAACATAGAGTTCTGACATCATGAACTTACAATTATGAACATATAATAATAAAATTATGAACATATGCTTCTATAACAAAGCGGTCTAAAATTTTTTTTAAAAAAATGGTGGAAGATAACGGTGCCACTAACGGCACCGTTACCGTGTCCACAATGAAAGGCAAAACTTTTACACGAAATAATTATTAGTTTTGGTTCGACACGGTTATCTCTAAAATAGAGTGTAAAGTCAGTGCTATCTCATATGTTAATCGGAAGATGATTAGCATAAAAAACAGAGTGTAACAAACTGACAACACTTGTCTTTAGTCTTCACTATTCGAGCCTAGGGATGGCAATGGGTCGGGTGTGGGTCGGGGAGGGCTACATCCATCACCCGACCCACCATATATTTTCTCCACCCACCCCCACCTCCAACCCGCATCAGGTGGACTTTTTTCAGAACCCACCCCCACCCCCACCGGGTGCGGGTGCCCACTACGGGTACCCACCACTTATCATCTTATTATGTTTTTCAAAAAATAATATTTAAATTATTTACACATAATAAAAAAAAAATAAAATCCATTAGTGATACTAAAACATAAATAATGGAAATATTTAAATATAATAACTAAATTGTTAATTTTTAAAAATAAACTTAGTAGTTTTGATATAAAAAATAGTAAAAAGATACACGAGTTATATAAACTATTATAAATAACTACATACTAGTACTTTTTTTACTATTATATATATATATATACACACACACATGGTGGGTCGGGTGGGGTTCTAGACGGGTCTTGTACATAGAACCCGAATCCAACCCGACCCACCGCGGGTTTTCTTTTTTAAGACCCATACCCGACCCACCACCCACCATCACCCAAAAAAACTCGATCCATTCGGGGTGGATTCGGGTGGATATCCACGGGTCGGATTGAAATTGCCATCCCTATTCGAGCCTAAACTAGGTTTGTTGAGTGATTCAGACGTGTGGAGACAACACCTCACGATACGGTACAACGATGTGTACCATTAGAGTTGTTTATTAATAGGATTCTTGCAATTCTGAATCTTTTATCATTACAATTAATAAAATATCCCCTTCACTCTTATAAGCGTAGGCTCTCAACCAAACCACGCAAACTTCTTTTCTTTGTTTTTGTTTCTTTATTTTTGATCTCTCGATCTCATTTTTCTCAACAAAACAAATAAACAATGCAAACCAACTTTAAAGAAGTATGTAAGTTGTTGGTCAAACAAGCACTAAGAAAACCCGAGTGGGTTCGGTTTCAATCTGTGCATATATATGGTGTCTATAATCCCCCATGAATCATCATATTTACAGTCCAAAATATTCACAAATCACTTTATTTCATAAGCTAAAACTTGCGAATTCATATGAACGTTGCAGTTTTCATGAATGCAGCAGTAACAGTACAGCAGAACATGGCTGCTATTGTCATCTTGGGGATCATCTTCTTCGAGGCTGCTCTCGTTCTGCAGGAGTTGGCGCCTCTCCATTCTCTGCAAATTCCCATTTCACGACATCCCCATCCCACGAAGAGCTAACGAGCATTGGATAATGCGGGTGCCAGCTGCAATCTCTTACAGTCGATCTATGGTGCTTCAGTTTCGCCACTTGGGCACCGCTCACCTGGTTGACCAAGAAACGAAGATTGTATATTTCAAAGATTTTTCGATTTCAGAAACTAATCCCGAGGTGGAAAAATATCAATTACAGAAGAGGATCGTGACATTCGTGTGTGCATCTTATAAAGAAAAACGAGCATACCAAGTCATAGACATAAACGCACTTGTCATGAGATCCGGTGTAAATATACTTCTGGCCCGTGCTGCAAAACACCAAACAAGAAAATTTCATGGATTTATTCCAGGGTTTGAGAATCGCAAAAACTCGAGCAAGTTAAAATGAATGGACAAAACGGTAGTGTAGAAAGAGAGAACGGACTTATAACGAGGGCGTTTGCTTGCACTAACCTATATGCCGGGGAGAAGTAACAGCGAATCAGAGTACGCAATACTGCATGGCCCTTATAAGTAGCCACCGATTGATCACCGGGGTGCTTCAGGTATCTCGCCTGAGGAGGGTAGTCCATCCATCTGTAATCCCATTCGTAATTCCTATACCACCCACCCGTGCTGATAAAGAACAACGAAGCGTAGAAATGTTGCTCGTCAGATTCTCAAGAAAGGAATATAATAGAAGTGAACATGTATGAATGTTATGTGTTAAGCATATAATATATAAACATAAATGTGCAGTCCAACTATCAGCTTAGACTTTTAGTTGAGATAGAGCACACGCTTCTGGAGCTGGTCAAAAGTAACCGGCGCTGCATGTGAGGGTGGGTGTTGAGCATATAATATATAAACATACATAAATGTGCAGAGCCCAACTATCAGCTTAAGCTTTTAGTTGAGAATTGAGATGGAGCACATACTTCTAGAGCTGGTCAAAAGTGACCGGCGCCGCACGTGTGGGTGCGTGTTGCGCATATAATATATAAACATACATAAATGTGCAGAGTCCAACTATCAGCTTAAGCTTTTAGTTGAGATGAAGCACATGCTTCAACTATATGCTCCTCCGGGAATGAACATGAAAAAATGTGAATTATATATATGTCAGAGAAAGTCGCAATATGCGTAGATATGATTCGAGTAGCCATGGCGTTGGAGGGTGAACATACCAAGTAGAGTTGGAGGACATTTTGCGGATATCCCAAAGCTTGATTGCTTGATCTTTACCATTTGATATGAGATAGCGGCCATCTCTCCGGCTGTCAACACAAGTAATACCCTCAAGGTGTCCCATAAGCACTCCTTCCGATTTACCTTGGGTTCTAATGCAACGTCGGTCCCAAACCTATTATAGAATGCATCGTAATTCATAAATATCAAACTCGCTTACATTAAAAAACCAAACGTCATTAGAAAAAACTATATATGTATTATCTCAGACATTACCTTACAGAGATTGTCGTCACTCCCAGAATAAATAAGGTTACCACTTTCATCAGCGAAACAAACGGTGTTGACATCGGACTGCATCAGAAATAAACTTCGTTAAGCATGCAAATGACGGGTAATTGGAACGATGAATCTGTCATCACAAACTGACCGTACCCCATGTGCAGAAACCCTAAGGGAAAGTTTATTTGCTTCAAGATCGTAAACATAAATCGCATCATCACTGCTCCCAGCTACAACTTCCCGACCATCAGTGGAGTGCTTTACGGAAAAGATTCCAAAAGAATAGCCGTTATCGTCATCAGAGGAAAAGTCCAAACCTTCATGGATCTCCTGCATTTAAAGTCGCAAAGGATCACTTTTTCAATGTCAAGAAATCACCTTATTACAAAGAGGAACGTGAAGTCCAAATCATATTCCCGATAACAACTATATAAATTGGTTCATACAGTGACGTTTGCAACCGATTCGGTGGTACCAGATCCAACATTTACAACGTGAACAATGGGTGACATCGTAGCATAGACCTGCAAGAATAATTGCCCGACAAAGATGTGAGATTTGTGGCTGCAAAGTTATCATTTAAATATATTGCTTTGTAAGCATGGGTCTCTCGGGATTATAATCTTTCCCGAGCTGTAATTGAAGACAAACATGAATTCAAGCCCAAAAGAGGATATGGATTCATATCTATGCAAATTTAAGTGTACAAACTCACAAGATGCCGGTGATCTGGTGAAAGAGATGTGTCGGTAACTGTCCATCTCAAGCTTTGGGCCTGAATATCCTTCTGGATTTTCCAGCCTTTTTCTACGTTATATATTCGAATGTGGCTTCCCTGTTTCATACAAGTAAAAATACGCCATAGCACGTTAAAATGAGGTGTAAAGAATTAAACTTTGACTTCTTGGGTTAGACCCTGCATCGTGCCCTTACGGGAATGGAACATGTACACAACAACGCGGTTTATAATGGGCATTTACACAACTAGGAACCATGAAATTAGAATATACAGTTAGGGGATTAGTCTGAGTATGGTACAGGCTTAAAGGTGCCTCCTACAGTTAGGGCCTGCACAGAACACCTCGTAGTCTGACCAAAAAATAAGTTAATATACAGTGAAAATTGCAGTTATGCACTATACACGTCAAGGCTAAAATGCACACTTGACGATAAATCATAAGATGGAAAGCAATAACGCTAAGATACAAATACAGTCAACCGAAAAGGTTTAATCAAGTGCTCATTTTCAGCAACGTGGAAATATATAAAGTCAGCAATTAGCAATACCTGAAATGCAGCTATGAATAGAGAGCCATCAGTAGAAAACTGCGATACATAAGCCCTCGTTGGCATCTGGTCTACAACGCAAGGATCATTTACAGGCAGATACCTACTTAAAACATGACAACGATCAGCCGACGAGAAACTTCCTCTCCCCGAGTAATTTGCTTCTCTGCCAACTAGCATCTTGACAATCGAAACGGGAACATCCTTCTTCACACCTAACACCTTGCTCAAGTTTTCATTAGGTTTGGATCTAAGCCTCGTGAGCTGAGCAATTTCATGGTCCAAACAATGTAAATGCCCGTCATGCTGAGCCATCTTCGCAACCTCAGAATTACCATGACTTGAGCCATCGAACAGTCCAGAATCTATTTCCAATCTACTCAGAGCAAACCCCATTTCCTCAACCGAAGTCTCGGGATATACAAAGTACATTTCAAGCAAAGCCCCACACCCAAAATTTATCCACCCAACATACAAAATGCAGCTGAAAACTTCTCATTCATCCCCAATTCAGTTCTCACAACACTAAACCTGCAAAGAACAATGCAAATGCAGGGTATAATAACACTAACCAAAACTCCAGACCTATAATCAGATTGGGGATACCATAAAAATCGTGAAGTGGATTCAAATCAGTTAATTAAAGCATTTCAACAAACACCCAAGACTCAAACATGTCCACACAAGGGCATACCAAAATCGGTTCAACTCCCAAAATTCTGCAGCCATATATACACAACAGTATAGATAATCGGTTCATCAAAAGAATTCATAGCAATTCAAGATCCTTCCAGTTTTTAAGGATTAGTTGTGTCTGATAACAACAAAAATTAAAAAGAAACCCAAAATAGCAGCTTGGCTACAGACCAAGAATTGGAATGCACTTTATAGAAAGAAGAAAAATCAGCAAAAATTAATAAATTTCACTCACCTGATTGTTCGGGCTAAATGGTTGTTGACTTGCGGGGTTCATACACAACACACTCATATTTTCTTTCTTTTTCTTATCATATATCCTCTGCCACCCTTCTCAGGAAAAACCCCAAAAAAATAAATAAATAAATAAAGTAATAAACACTCCAGTCAATAAATGGAGGAGAAATTACGGAATAAGAATAAACGACTGTAGAAGATGAAGATGCACTCCAAGTAAATGTGAAATTATCATTTATTTTTATTAATTTCTCGTAAATTAATCAATCTCGTCACGCTTTATGAGGTAAATCTCAGAAGCGATTTTAATAAAGGAATATAGATTACGATTTGGGTGGGGTGAGTGATTCGTTAAAATTTTGTTTAAAAATAAATATTCATTCTTCCAAAAAAAAATATTTACCATTATACGTTATACTAGTATATTTTAATATCTCGATGCACAAAAATATATATTTAATATTAAATTTTAAGTATACTTAATAATTTGAATAATAATTATGGTATGGTTTAAATATTAAGGGTGTGTTGAAAATTTGGAAACATAATTTTTAAAAATTATTTTTTGGATTTCTAGTGTTTGGAAAGAAAAAAAATTTTAAGTTAATGAAAAATAGATATGTTTTCACGAAAATGACCTTTTTTTTTTTTTTTGAAAAGTCATTTTTCATGCCTTTTTCTACCAACGGATTACGCCTCTCTACCAACCGACCATGCCTCATCTGCTCTCAGCTTATTCTTGCTACACCAGCTGCTTCTTCATCTTCTTGCCATCATCTATCTTCTTACCACCAAGGCAAGTTTCCTCTCTTCTTTTTTTGAGTTATTTTTTTTTCTTCTGGTGGAAGATCTAATAGATCTCTGCCATCTAAAATGAAATCAAACTTATTGTGTATGCATATGCATGACAATAATAATGAGAAAATATAATAGAAGTTATAATGTTGAATATTTTTGTCCAAAATTTTATATAGTAAAACTCTTATATCATAATGTATTAAAAAATAAACATAAATTAGAAATATGATCTGAATTGAGACTTATTATGTTTTTATTTAGATAAGGTAATATAAAGACTGGGCAGATCAAGTGTTGAATGATCATGGGCCATGGCATATATGAAATGGGCTCTTCCATTTCTCTGGAATTTGGATGCATGAATTGCACAGACTTTTCTCTTAAGGTTATTTGGGCCTATGAATATGCAAATCCAGCAAAAGCCCAACTCAAGATGTTGGCATTGTAATTTGTAAGGTTCCAACAATTATGCCATGGATCCGAGTCAAAGTACATCATTTATATATTGAATGTTGAAATGTTCACAATTTATAGGCATAGTTTCTCATTCTAATATATGATTCTAATTAATTGGTCAAAGTTCATGTTAAATTTTATATTGTATTTTTTTAATACAATCTAATATATTCATAGTATATGTTTAACAATAATGTCAATTTTAATTGGGATGAGGTTCGAATCTAAGACTTTCTTTATGAAAATTAATAAGTAAGTTAAGAATAATAAATAGTTAAGGGAATGTTCTGTTACTAAAGTTTACACTTACGGAATGTAAGGGTATTTAAGAAAAATAAATGATATAATAGAAGGTAAAGTAGAAAAAATAAAAATCAAAATAATATGAACCATTCATTTCAATCAATAATTACACTAATATTTTTTAATTTTTGTTATGACACAATCTTATTGGCTCTTATTAAATTTGTAGATGATAATATAAGGGTGTTGCTATTTGCACCCCCCTTTGACTAAAATGAGATAAAAAGTAAATTGAAAATATAAAAAGTTAAAAAGTTATAATAAAAAGTTAAAAAGTATTTTCCACGATCAGTGAACAAAGCGGCTCATGCTTTAGCAAGGGCAGCTCGTTCTCAAACTGGTCCTTCTGTTTGGTTGTTTTCTATTCCGAGTTGTATTAAACATTTGTTTTAATAAAAGCTATATTTTCCCTTCAAAAAAAAAAAAAATACATAGGTGGTGCAAATAGCCTAATAAGTGGTCAAAATGCTATTTGCACCACCTTAATTAAATCACATTTATTATGTTTAAATAATAATTAATTAATTCAAAATTTTTTTTTTTTTAAAAAAAAAGAAAGATTAATGTCACCGGAGAAGGCTACATGGGTCGCCTTCTCACCGGAGAAGGCGACCCCTGGGTTGCCTTCTCACCGGAGAAGGCAATCCAGTTGCCTTCTCACCCGAGAAGGCAATCCAGTTGCCTTCTCACCCGAGAAGGCAATCCAGTTGCCTTCTCCAATGAGAAGGCATGTCCATAGCCTTCTCACTGGAGAAGGCATGGTTTCCTTCGTTGTTTTTTTTTTATTTATTTATTTTTTTTTAAACAATCCATTGAGTTGCCTTCTTCGGTGAGAAGGCAACCCACTGGGCTTCTCCGGTGAGAAGACAGTCCCTGCCTTCTCACCGGAGAAGGTGACGGGATGGAGGAGGTTTGTTTGTTTTTTTTTTTTTTTTTTTTTTTTTTTGTAATTTAAAAAAATGAAAAATAAATAATAATCCTTGACCACATTTAATGCTGACATTTACACCACCTATAAAGCTATTTAACCTACTAAATAGGTGGTACAAATAGCAAAATAGGTGATGTAAATAGAATTTCCCTAATATAATCATGCATGACAATTTTCGATATTGAAAATTTTCCCATCTATATTACTCCGTATGTATTAGTTAGTATAAGAAAATTGTATGGATGAATATAATGGATATAATTAATGATTTATTAAATGAAAATGAAGATGAGTTGTTGAATAACATAGTGTAATCAAAGTTGCGTAGGTTGTGGAAAACCATGTGGTGCAAAGGCAATAAACGACAACATCACACGACCAATTATTGCTTGGTACTATGATGATGATAATGATGATAAGTACCCACTATGGAAAACCCAACTCTCATTGACTACTAATTATATATAATAATAAAAAAAAAAAGATAATCCCATTTTCATCAGCCCATAGATCGTACCTTAGTTTTAATGTGTGCATAACGAATATAATTTAATCCAAACCTTCCATTATCATAAACCATTGTCATTCATGTTTTAGTGAGATTTGAACCCCTACATTATTATCTTCGTCGTGACTTTAAATTAAGCAACGAACCATTATGTTAACCATGGGGGCACCACTTTTTTTTTCTTTTTTTTTTTTGTTAATAATTCATATTTTTTCATTTTGTCAGACTAATTTCTAGGCTCATGAAAAAGTATATGAACAGATACTACAATGTAATAGAGCTAGTAGCATTCAAAAAAAAATTAAAGAAATATAGTTTGATACTTAATTAACACTAAAATGTACAGTATGCACAAAGAATCTAACACTAATAGGGCGTTTGGTTGGAAGGAAGGAATTAGGAGAGGGGGGAGGAGGGAGGGGGAGGGGGGGGGGGGTTGAATTGTAATTCGGTGGGAAAAGATTAATAAGATGTGAATAAAGTAGGAATTCAAATTACATTGTTTGGTAGGGAGGAATAGAATTATTGTGGATGAGAACAGAAAGAGTGGTATAAAGACTAAAATGTCCTTGTGTAATAATAATGCTAATAATAATCAAGGATAAAAAAAGGCATTTTCCTCCATTTTTCCTTTCCTTTTCCCATTAAATTCCAATTCATATGAGGGAGGGTATGAATTACAATTCAACAAAATGAGGAATTGCAATTCCCTCCAACCAAACACTGTAATTCTGATGACCAATAAATTTGGTTGTAATTGAATTGTAACTACATCCAACCAAACAATCCTAAAACTCGGTTATAAACTTCTAATCATATAACTATTTTATGGAGAAAAAAAAATTACTAAAATAACATAAAATAAAAGGTAGTAAATGGGCATGCATGGTTCTACATCAAAGTTGGGTGACAGCTTAGCAAACAGCAAAAGTTGGGTGAGAAGAATACAATTAAGAAGGATTAAAAACAGAAACCCTAGTACGGTTTTTGACGACAATGACTCATGCTCACACCACATAATCCAAACGCCAAACAACCTAATTATATCGTCCTTACCTATAACACGACAAAACTCACTAATCCCACGTTTTTAGTTAATTAATTGCATGACTTGGTCATAACACAGAATTTAATACGTCAATTCTCCACCAACCAAAGTGGGCTTCATCATTATTATTAATATATTATTATCTCGATCTATAACCAAATGCCAAACACAATGCCCCTAAAGTCAATACTCATTTTGTCCACACTCCCTTTGTTTTCTACCATCAAAATGTTACAACACCCAACAAAATATCAAATTTCATATTGATCCCAAAATGTTAAATCCTCATCCCGATCCAACATAGCATTTTGGGATTTAGAAGATGTAAATCATGATATGATCTCAACTGAACACATAGGCTAGACCTATCCCGGCGCGACAGAGCATTTGAGAGGACTCAGCTGAACATAGATGTTAGACCTTTGTTGGTGGAGTCCCCTCACTTTGAGAGGTTGTTCCCACACTGCCGCTGGTGAGACTCGATCCCAAGTCAATGTTTCCAAACTTCACTTCACTCATGTGACCAACTGAGCTGTCCATGCGGGCAAAATATCAAATTTCAATAATACAACATTGCATATCATCTTTTTTTGGCAAAGAAAATCCATATCCACTAATCCACTACTAACAAATCATATTGGATAAAATTTGCTCTTGTGTAATAATCTACAAATCACATTAAGTAAACTCCGCTCATGTGTAATATAATAGCCTACACATTATCCGCACTAAGAAGACCCCATGCAATAAGCCAACTTGACATAGAGTTTGTTGTATGTCAATAATTAAACTTGTGATTTTTAGGTATGAGAAATTGAGAATCATGTTTTACCTACTTAGCTGCTTTTTGAAGACTTTTTTTTCTCATTCTTTTTACCTATGATAGGATGAAAAGGAAAATTGATTCATATCAATCTATAATAATCTCATATATTGAATCGAATATTGAGAGATATCCATATAAGATCCAAGGGTTCTTGTCCAAAACCAAAACAAAACAAAAAAACAGGTCCCAATTCCTTTGTTCTATTCTCTCCCTATTGCCTACCAAGAAAAAGCAAGTACCCAAAACTCCAAACACGCCTCCACTATCCAAAAGCTGACACAGGAATAAATCAAATCAAATCCTTGAAAAGAAAAAAAAAAAAAAAAAAAAAAAAAGACTTGGCGGGTTTCCGGGCGGCCCGGATCCATTTTTAGTGATGGATGGATATATGACTCGGACTCATAACGTCCAATCATATTCTTTTTGCATCAAAAAAGAAAAAAAAAAAATAATAAGTTCTGGTGGATGGGGTTTAGGGTTGACGACCCGACAGAGTCCCAATCGGGTCCACCACCAAAATTGTAACACCCAAAGTCTAGTGTTTCATCACTTTGGCAAGTCTGTCTGACCAAACTGCGGTGTCTCCAATTTAGGAAAATTCAATCCATATTGTGCACACTGTCCAATCTCCCATAGTACAACACACATAACCCTATGAGTACAAGGTAAAAACCTTAAATTCTATCCACACATGTTGTAGCACAAACATTTTTACTGCAATGTAAAATGTAAATTTACTATGACAACATTTAACGTGTTGGGTATAACATACTCTCTAATATAATACTCCGTATAAAATATACGTAGTCTAATTGGCAATTTAATCTTTTAGAGGGCGTTTGGTTCATGTCATCTTAGATTACTTAGGTAATATGAGTATGGTAATGTTATATTACTTTGTTTGATTCAAGTTATGAGATTACCAGATAATGTTATATTACCTGAAAACTGATGTGTCGGTAATGTTTCAAGGTAATGTGATTAACCCCATTTTTTTTTAGGTAATCTTAGATTATCTTGAATTATTCCAATTTTTCCTTTGTTAACAAATAATAATAACAATAATAATAATAATAATAATAATAATAATAATAATGAAATTAATATATGTTTATATAATTAAATATACATATGTGTATATTTATATATTTAATTTTTTTTAATATTTAAGCTTTGATATACATTGATAGATATAAATAAATATACACACATAATATATATATATATATATATATATATATATATATATATATATATATATATATATATATATATATATATATATATATATATATATATATAGACTCAGGTTCCCGTGCGGGTGAATGCTCCCCGTGCGATTGTGCGGTTATTAATGTGCGTGAGATTTGTACTCAATGTGCATGAGTGTTGTATCCAATGTGCCTGAGATTTGTACTTAATGTGCGTGAATGTGTAAAATGCAGCATAAAAGTGGAGACCTACAGGATAGTTTCTTCGCTAGCTTTGTTCTCGCATGGGTTATCACAAATGGTGCTGGTATTGCTTCTTACCCAATGATGATGACATCTGGTGAAGCCGTCAAGTACAAGAGCTCTCTTGATGCTTTTGCTCAGATTCTTAAGAATGAAGGTGTGAAAAGGGTGCTGGTGCAAACATTTTATCATGACTATATGGGTGCTTCTCTTTTCAGTAGCATAGCTCATATTCTTAAGAATGAAGGTGCGAAAAGGGTGCTGGTGCAAACATTTTATCATGACTATATGGGTGCTTCTCTTTTCAGTAGCATAGTTATATGGTGATTTTCTGTTCTGCTTCTTTCTGAGTTCGTAATTCTGAACTACTCACGCACATTAAGCACAAATCTCACGCATATTAAGCACAACACTCAGGCACATTAAGTACAAAACTCACGCATATTAACATCACGCACATTAAGAACAACACTCACGTACATTAAGTATAAACTTCACGCACATTAATTCACCGCACAACCGCACGAGAAGCAACAAATGCACCTGATCCCTTCCCATATATATATATATATATATATATATATATATATATATATATATATATATATATATATATATTATTGAGTGCATTATTGTAAATTGATCCATATAACTTAAAATATAACCCTGAATCAAACAAGGTAATATTATATTACACCATTCAAACCAAACACACAAGGTCAAATCTTACATTCCCAAAATCTCACATTACCTTCCAGGAGGTAATCCTATTACCTGGGGTAATCCAAGATTCCGTGAACCAAACGCCCCCTTAGTTGAAACTATAACATTTTTTATATGTAATTAATGACATTATTAAGTGGTGTAAGTTTAATAGGTCATTTATGTCTGTTATGTTGTGGTTTGAAACGGATGTAAGGTTTCCGTTACAAATTAAAGCCTATACTGATGGCATATAAGGCTATATAAGTACAGGTCCTACCACGGTTCCGGAATACGTGAAATACACCATCTATATTGTTCGGAGATCAAGTTGGAGGCATTGTTACTCGGTAGAAATTACTACTACCATTTATACATCAACACATTTTTTTTTTCAATACAAGGGAAGGGTGGAATCTCGGGAAACAAAATGATCAGTCACCGCGGACATAGGGAACACCTAAACTATCCTTGCGGATGCAATCCGCGAGCATGGCGTTAGGGCAAAAATACAACACAACCAACTCGTGGTTAAGGGCAAAATTCTTCGCAAGCGAATCCGCAATTTGATTATGTTCCCTCAAAATGTGGATGAACTTCATGTTCCAATTAGACATCAACACATTAATACTAGTACTAGCTATATATAGTAGATATACCATGCTATTCACAAAGAAATACAATGGAGGTATCAACTATGGCTAGAGTTTTGCTTGATCCTTTCGCTTCCACTATGAGGTTAGATTATTACAAGTATTATATTTGATTGTATATTTAGTCTAACAGAAATAACAAGTGTTACTCAGAGCAATGAACACTTTTAAAGTGTTGTGTTATTTTGTCATGTGGATGATGTTTTCTATACAATATGTATGACAAGCATGACACGTGCTTCTTTGTCACCGGTGTTGGGTTTTCTATACTACATGTATGACAAGCATCACATTGTTTCTTAGTTGAGACAATTAGTGTTACTGAAAGAGCAATGAACCCTTTTAAGGTGTTGTGTTTTTTTGTCACTAGTATTGCGTTTTCTACACAACATGTATGACAAGCACACCATTCTTCTTTGTCACCAGTGTTGCGTCTTCTACACTAAATGTATGACAAGTATGACATTGCTTTCTTAGTTGAGAACTTGACACAACTAGTTTTATTAAAAGAGCAATGAACTCTTTTTAAGGTGTTATGTTTTTTTGTCATCGGGATTGTGTTTTTTACACGACATGTATAACAAGCACAACATTCTTCTTTATCATCGGTGTTGCGTCTTCTACACTTCATGTATGACAAGTATGCAATGCTTCTTAATTGAGTCAGCTAGTGTTACTGAAAGAGAAAGATCGATGAACCATTTTAAGGTATTATGTTTTTTTGTCACCGAAATCGTGTTTCCTACACAACATGTATGACAAGCACAATATTACTTGTTTGTCACCGGTATTGTGTTTTCTACACTACATGTATGACAAGCATGACATATATTGCTTTTAAGTTGAGACACTACTGAAAGAGCGATGAACCCTTTTAGGGCGTTGTGCTTTTTGTCACTGATGTTGCATTTTCTACCCTACATGTATGACAAGCACAATATTTCTTCAAACTTCGCTAGATCGCAGCTAGTATGGAGTTGTAGTTCTTTGCCAAGCATAAGGTAGAGAGGAGATCAGTTAGTTTTCGATTTTCGTATATAGAGAACCAAAGCTAGAGACAAATTAAATGAAATCTATAAGCAAAATAGACTATATATTTCTAATACACAAGTATACACATTACATATATATATATATATGATCTTCAGTTCTTCACAACATCATGGATTTTCCCAAAATCCATATTCTAAAATTAGATTTCTGGCATCAAACCAGATAATGCTGGATGGCACCAAGCAGAGAAACCACTTACATGGTAGTACTACTACTACTACTACTTCCTCCTTAATTTCACCAGCAAATCTCAAAACTGGATAATGCTTCTGCCAAAATACCAAAAAACAAAAATAGCCTAAAACTCAGAGGTACATACCAAAGTGAAGTTGATGAAGTTTGCAGCCAAAAGAAGATCCAAACATGATCCTCGGATAACCGGCAGACACACCAGAAGTCCAGAACATATATATATATATATATATATTAGCAGGAGATGTATATATAGCGGGGTTAAGTGAGGTATGAAGAGTTAGAGATGGTGGATGAAGTTGGTTATCTCGTCCATTAGGCAGATGAAATGGTTGTTATTAGGCAGGAAATAGAACCCGATTGTCGCCTGTTCGAGGAACAGGAGTTTAACCTCCTGCCCAGATTCTTGAAGGCCTTGAACATAAGCTAATTGCCAGTCCTGGGATAGATCGAACCCCGCCACGACGACGAGGCTTTTGGGGAAGTTTAGTCCGTTTAAGGTTGTTCCTCTTGGGCCAAATATGTTACATGCTGGGTGGTCTCTATCTTCCCCTTCTGGCAAATAGGCTCTCCAGTACCAATCCCTGTCTTGGACTGTGACAAAGTATTTGCCGTCCAGTTTTGTTTCTGATTCGGTCCTCTTCTGCCCACCAAACATGGGATGAAGCAGGATGTTTCCTAGGACCTCAACATCATCGGACTCCGCTGCCCGGACTGCCACGTGGTGGGCTATGTTCCCGCCGGAGCTGTCTCCGGCCAAGAAAACATGGACTTTGGAATTCCCATCTTCGCCGCTCCTCAGCCACGGCCGGGAATGCACCCATTTCAGGGCGGCCCACCCGTCGTCATACGCGCAGGGGTACCTATGCTCCGGGGAGCGGCGGTAGTTCACGGAAACCACCACCGCGCCGCAAATCTTGACGAGGCGGCGGCAGAACGTGTCGTAGATGGCGCTGTTGGCGGAGGAGTGAGTGAAGCTCCCGCCGTGGAAGAAGATGATGACGGGGATAACCTCCGTGGTGCTCAGAGGCTTCTCCAGCTCCACTTTCCCCCAATCCGACTCCTTCTCCGGCGCCGGCCGGTAAACTCGGTTGAGCAGGCTCGTGGCCCGATCCACAACGTCGAAAGAGTAAACCCCGTCGACCGGAATCGTGTTCGCCGCCACTTTCCGTTCCAGAAACTCCGCCAAATCCCGGTTGAACGTGCCGTCCGGGCGGCGGAGCATGTTGTAAGCGAGCTTGAAATTGGAGATGAGAATCCATGTATTGAGCGGAACCACCTTCTGCAAAAGGACAGGAAATGAAATTAAAATTAAACAGTTTGTATTTCATCATCCAGAAAGGAAACATCATATCTGGAATGTTTATGCGTATCCAGAAAGAGAAAGAAAATGGAAAAGTGAACCACAAACTAACACCACCCAAGCCCCCAACAAGAAGGCAAAAAAAGGTGACACTTTGATTCCAGAAAGGCCGTTATTATATCATCAATAAGCAAAAAAAGCCAAATAGCCACAAGAAAACGTACTGGGCATACATGGTTAAAGCCCAAATCTTGAAATCGAATGTAAAGACTCAATCTTTTTGCCCAGATCAAGGTTTGGGTCCTCCAAAACAGAACTTTCTCGAAACAGTACGGTCAAACAAACTCCCAAACACAAATCAATCATTAAACGATCACACAACTCTTCCAATTACTACCACAAACCAACAATACTACACTACTAAACACCAAATATTTCTTAATTTCACCTTTGATTCACTGGCGTTGATTTCGTCGCTGCCGGCCATGGCGTTTTCCGGTATGCAAAGAACCAAGCTTTGTAGCTAGCTTAAGATGGGAGCACTGATCTCCGGAAAGATCAGCGTTTCGCACCGCTCATAACGCTTCGGAGATCGCAAAACAGGGAAGAAATCCCGTTTCCTCTTCTATGGGAGGGTTAGGAATCAAGCAGAAGAGACACTTCTGAAACCAACAAATTAAATTGCAGCCCTGCAGAGAGTCCCCAGACAACACCACAGTTTCGAGTGAGACAGAGAGAGAGAGAGAGAGAGAGAGAGAGAGAGAGAGAGAGAGAGAGCTTATAGAGATGAGGAGAAGAAGAAACCTGGGAGAGGTAGTGAGAGAGAGAGAGGACGAAGAAGAAGGAGAAGATATAAAGGCAGAAGAAAACAGAGTTAGAGAGAATAGTCTGGAGAGAGAGAGAGAGAGAGAGAGAGACGCAAAAGGGACGACGGTGAAGGACGGGGAGACGACAGAAACGACAAACGGAGACGGTCGAAATAAACTGTTCCCATGGGTCCCACTCATTGTAATATACTAAATCCAAATTGGTCTTATCTTTTTGTTTTGTTTTGTTTTTATTTTCTTTTACCTTTTTTTTTTCAACGTTATTTATTTCCTTCTCAAATTTATCAAATGTTTAAATTTATTATTATTATTATTATTGAATAATTTAATTGAGCTAAGAGCTGTTACAAAGCTAATGCCAGAAGAGCTTAGCAAAGATTCACGCATAGGAACTGTACATAACCACTCCGTTTTGTTCCCACGCACATCGTTTTGTTTCGTATTTAGAGCTTGATTGGTCGGACTAAATAACATATAATATAAAATTATTTATAAAATAGATATGATAAATTATTTTTTTGTTTTGTTTTGTTAGTATACGTTTAAATCATGAAAACACGAAAGGGTTAATTTTAGAATTTAAAAATTCTGTTTTTTTTTTCCCTCACTCAACCCCCAACAAAACGTTATATGAGTCGCAACAATTTACGATTTAATGCCTTGGTCTTATGATTTTATAGTAATGTTTACATTATCTTGCCCATAAAAGGCGAAATCTCTTGCTCTGATCTTTATATTTTTGTTTGATAGAATTTGTAGAGGTGATAAATCAATGTGATTAAGTGATTGATAATGTGGGATGACTCACTACATTTGGTGTAACTCCTACACTGCGACAATCAATGCTCGATCATGTCTCATTGCTCACAATTTGCCACATAGGAATCAACTAAGCTACCCGTGCGGACATTTTTATAGTATCTTATGGTTTAATTATAAAGAATTAATTAAGAAATATGATCTAAATATCAATTTTAATCTCTCGATCATGGTATTGGTTTAGTGACTTAGTTATTCATTCCTAGTGTATACTTAGTCCCTCAATTTTTTTTTTTAAAGTGGACGATTTAATTTGTTCCTTAGAGGGACCAAATATGCCACTTAGCTAGCAATTAAGATGCCAAATTCACTACTTCGTTAAGAGTTGAGTGACTAATAGCATGCATAAGGACTAGATTAACGCTAGGGGCAACCCCAATCAAGTTAATCAGTTAATTATGTGTCAATTAGTTATGAATAACATTGGCTAGTGTACTTCCTTATAATTTTTTAATTTGATAGCTAGGGTCACAACCAATCTTCACCCCATCGTGCACCTTTGGATCGGATAGCAGTTGTAATTTTTCTCCTAAATCAAAGCACTAAATTTACGCAATGAGTATCCACCGTTTAGGCAGGTTTTCCTTTACGTGGTTCTTTATCGACTAGTATTACAATGCAAGCTTCACCCAAAGTGCACTCTCATATAGTACGTAACTGTAAACTTTTTCATAAATTAATTTAAATGACAAGATTTTTACCACAGCGATACAGACTTAGGTGTAATTTTTCTAAAAACAACTATCCACTAAAAGTGGAGGAAATATCACATGCATGATATAATTTACAACACATGCATTATAACGAAAAGAAGGGTTAAGAGGTGATACAAGAAATATTATTTGAGGTAAATTTCGTGGGAATTAAGGATAGGAACAAAATTAGTAGGAGATTTAAAGGATGATGTTGGAAGCAAAGTAAATGATATTGTCGGAAAGAGAGAAAAGGGAAGATGAGGGTGGCGACAAAGAGTCTAAGGAGGTGAGGGGTCTGAAAACACGTACAATTGCCAAACTTCCATTTGCTCAATCAAATTAAAACCCATCCTTATCAAACCCCTAACCATGCCACTACGAACACGACACTTACTTGTCGTTTTGCGCCGAGCGTGTGCCAACCTAGGCCTGTTGTTTTCCCCTTCAAAACTCTCCCATCTACCTATTCAACATATATAAGTTTAAACCCTAAACTTGAGTTCTTCGCACCCCCTATTTTGAAAATAGTAAAATAAAATAAATCGTTAAATATACCTCAATAACACATGATTTGAGTGTTTTGTTTTGTTTTTTTTTCCAGGCTAGAATCCTCGCCTATTGAGGATTCGAACCCGAGCAATTCATATGAACTGCACCCACATAGAGATGGAAATAGGCCGAGGCATGGGTCTGGTCCTGAGCTTACAATTGGCATGACTTGATCTGACCTGAAGTCTTTATTATAAGCATGTCTAATATGTTAGGTCATTAAAAAGGTTTCAAAGTAAGTCCTGCTTTGAACCTATTTAAAGCCTGTATATTAAGTCATTTTAAAAATTTTAATAAGTATTTCTAAATAATTTAAGAAATATACCTAATACAAAATTAATATATAACTGCATAAGCATATCACCACAATGCAAACATAATAGCATTAAAACATAAAATAAAACAAGTCACGACTTCAGCATGTTCGTCAAATTGTTTAGTACTTTAGAAATAAATTCAATTGTATTATTACTTTTTATCCTATATAATCTCATAAATAGTTAACAATCAACTTACATAATTAAGTCGTGACACTTCATTAAATATTATAACAGTAAGAAAAATTAATAAACAATTAAACAAATAAGAACACGTATAACAGAATTAACAACAATGTTTATAGTTGAATCAGAATTTAGAATGAGATTTTGGAGGTGGAGGGTTAGGGTTTGGTAATTATATATACTTGCGGTTATATTGCAAATATAAAAATATATTAGGTATAAAATAGAGTATAACTTTATATATATATATATATATATATATATATATATATATATATATATATATATATATATATATATATATATATATATATATATATATAGACACACACACACACACACGTACGTATATAAATAGGTCAAGCATGTAGGTCTGAAGGCCGGGGCGGTATATATAAGTCTGGCATGTTTAGTTTAATAGGCTTTGAAATGGTCACAAGTCTAGCTTTTTTACTAAACAAGTCAAATCTAAATAAGCTTTAATTAGGCTACGTCATAAGCTCCTACAAAGGGGATTGGCCTATTCCCCCCTTTAATCCATATTCAGACTTTCGACCACTAAGCTATGCTCCGGAGTCGAGAGATAATTAGGCCCAAAGGAAGGGGTTGTGCAGGGTGTGTGGGATCGAATGGCATGGCCCTAGCGGGTAAATTATTATTTGAACCATGAATGCAATATACATTTTTAATATACTAAAAGTATGTATATTATTTGTGTACTAAATGTACATTATTTGATAATATATAGAAAATCATGTAATTTTTTAAATAATATACTTTATGTATACAAATAATATATTTTTAATATATTAAAAATGTACTTTTTATTTATAGTTCACACAAATGTGTACACCATGGTCCATGGAATAATGATTGGCGCTAGCGTGCAGTATTTGTGCAATTTCCATGAACTGGATTTTTTAGCGGGGAATTAACCGCATTAGAAAGTAGAAACCTATAAAAATTAAAGTAGTTTGAGTCATTGAAGATGGACATTCAGTTCTTACTAATTGTATTAGAGTGTCTATTGTGTTTGTTGTGAAGTTGTAGACTACCCTGACTACCTTCACTTCTATGACAATCATGATTGTCTTTTAAAATAAAATAACTTTTTTTTTTAAACACTTACAATTTTTTACAAAGTAATCTGTTCTATAAAATAACTCTTTTTACTTAGTGATAAAAAAAATATTATTTGAACTCGATCAATTGTATTTTTACCGCATTACCATCTCTATATATGACCATTTAACACCATCTATTTATTCAATGGTTAAGAGCCATCGCTCCTTTAATCTACTCCAATAATATTACCATGCCTATTTTTATTTTAATTTTTAACAGTACAAATGATCATGAATTATCAATAAATAATTTATAAATAGTTAAATACATATAACATAATTTTTTAAATTAAAGGCAAAACAGCTATTTACACAAGAACCCTTTGGGGCTATTGGGTTTCATGTGAACACACACAAAAGGCGTGCCAAACACCTCAAGAAAATGAAAACCCATAGCTTGAACAAGTCCAAGAAACGACAAGAACACACATCCTTATCACCACTATTCTTAATTATTATTAAAAAAAAAAAAAAAAAAACATGTTATTAGCTTTGACAAAAAGCTATGTAGTTACAACCAAAACAGATAAAGAAGAGATAGAAAGAGAGAGGAGGGGCAATCAATTTGGTCATATTTCTAGCTTATTAGTAGTTATAAAATTTTAAGTTTAATTCTCAGTGGGAGAAATCAATTAGTCTATTTGGTTTGATCCAGTCAGTTATGGATAAACTAGACTGTTTTACTTACTTGTAGTTTTTTGCTGATTAGAGTTATAAGGCCGAGTTTACTCAATACACATTCTCGAACAGTGGTTGTAAATTTGTTTCGTGGTCAAAAAAAAAAAAAAAGAGAGAGAGAAAGAGGGAGTTAAGAGGAAGTAGCACGCCAACGTTAAGAGTGGTAGCACATTTGGACAAATTGATTGTGGTGGCATATGAAGGTGATGGGCTAAGCATGTGGCACACACTCAACAACGTATTCTATTTATTGTCCCCTCCTTACTTCCACAACTTTAATTACTTTGAATCATTCTTAATTATGTGCGTTTAGAAAACCCTAAATTTTTAAACATTTTTTAATGTATACTATAATGTTTTCGAACAAGGGTTGATTCACAACCAACCCTTTGTAATCATATTTCTCTCTCTCTCTATAATTTTAATTTGTATATATATATATTTGCAAGTCTTACTTTATACTACACCTCTACACTTATATGTGTTATTGGTTTTCTTTTTAAAATATATATTATTAATTCAAGGTTATTTTATGGATATTATTGG